AAGTTCCCCATGACTACAGGGCCAGCACTCTATCCACTATGCCACCTAGCTGCCTCTAGTAGAACTAGAGGAACAATTTATAAAAGGAAAACCATATTGTACAATGGACCAGGACAATTCCAAAAGACTCATGATGGAAAATGCTGTCCACATCCAGAGAAAGAACTATGGAGTCTGAATGCAGAGCGAAGCATGCTGTTATCATTTTTTTTCTCATGGCTTTTCCCTTTTGTTCTGATTCTTCTTTCACAACATGACCAAATGTGGAAATATGTTTAACATGATTATATATGTGTAACCTATATCAGATTGCTTGCTGTCTTGGGGAGAGGGGAGGGGAGGGAGGGAAGGAGAAAAATTTGGAACTCAAAATTTTATAAAAATGAATATTAAAAACTACCTTTATATGTAATTAGAAAAAATAAAATACGATTAAGTGCAAAAAAGGAAAAAGAAAAAACCAATATCGTACAGACAGATGGCTTTGAAAGGCTTAGGAACTTTGATCAACTAAATAATCAACTATAAATCCAAAGGACTTAGGATGAAATATGTTATCCACCTTCTAATAAAGAGGTGAAGGACTCAGAGTACAGTACGTACATACATATATACATATGTGTGTCTGTGTTTGTGTGTATACACGCGTGTATGTATCTCCAATGCAGAAATTTGTTTTGCTTGACTCTACATGCTTGTAACAGGAATTTTGTTTGTCTTTCATTCTCAGGGATTGGTGAGTGGGAGGAAGATAAGCTTGAGTTTTTGCTGATTGAAACAAAACAAAGTGTAATTTAAAGAAACAGGATACCACTTAAGGCATTGACCCAAAAGTAGAGAATCCAGGAGATGGACATAAAAATGGATTTCTCACCAATGGATTGAGGTTACTCTTTAGAACAAAGTTTGCAAACAAACTAGTGTGTGATATTGGGAAGAGAACACCAGTTCCCAGAACAGGAAGTCTTGGAGGTACAGTTCTAGTTTGCCTTATAAGATTCTCATCTAGAAGGCACTTCCACAACAATGAGTCCACAGGCCATCAAGAGAACCCTCTATTTAAACATGCAACATCCAAGACTTCCACTAATTCACAATGTTTGCCTATCCCTTTTCTTATGCCTATGATTAATTTTTTTATCCATTCATTTCTTTAGGTAAGTATTTGTGTAACACAGGAGTCTGTTTTATGCTTTGGCATATCTCATTTTTCCCATCTTCAACTATCCTCCTTGAGAACAAGATCAGTTATTGGGGAGGGGGAGGGGAAGGAACAAGAATTCATTAAGCACCTACTATGTGCCAAGCACTCTGCTAAGCAGTTTATAGATAATATCCCATTTGATCTTATTAACTTTTTGTCACCATACTGAGTATTTAGAAATGAAGGGATTGTTATACACAATTGTTGACTTCCATTAAAGTTAGTTTCCATTGAAGTGGAAACAATTTTCTCCTTCCTTCCTTCCTTCCTTCCTTCCTTCTCCTTCCTTCCTTCCTTCCTTCCTTCCTTCCTTCCTCCCTCCCTCCCTCCCTCCCTCCATTCTTTCCTTTCTTCTTTCTTTCTTTCCCCAGCATTCACCACTGGGGATATAAGTGCCCTCTCCATGCTTGAAACATGATACGTGCTTATTAAGCACTGGTTGACTTGACTGGACAAACTGAGGAATTTTCTCCAAAGTGTACAAGCATCTCAACAATCCTCCACATTGGTTGATTTACACATATGCACACAGTTGGGATTAAGAAAGGGCCCTTAATTATGTCAAGAGTAGATTTGAATTTCATCAATACCAAGTTCCTCCTTCAAAGCGAAAATGAGTATCATAATAACCAGGTTATAGGGTCAATTTGGGAACCATGTTTCCCATCAAACACCAACATTTACTTTCTTTCTTATTCTAGGATTATCACAAATTCTTAAATTAGTTATGAAGATAAAGAGGACTAAGAGAGAACGTGAGGAGAAGAAAAGGTCAAGAGGCAACCTTTGAAATTTGGCCTGACTGTACCTTATTTTGTAAAATAAACAGAGCATCACCTCCTGGCAAAGGGCTGCCTTACAGAACCCTACGTGAAGTCATGGGTAGGGTGATCGTGAAAGACCCCACTGTTTATGTATTTTTTCTTTTTTTTCCTTTTTTTTGGGGGGGTTAGGCAATGGGGTTAAGTGACTTGCCCAGGGTCACACAGTTAGTATTACGTGTCCGAGGCTGGATTTGAACTCAGGTACTCCTGAATCCAGGGCCCATGCTCTATCCACTGCGCCATGTAGCTGCCCCCATGACCCCACTATTTAAAAAATCTCTCTTACATGAGTCTGCTTGGAATTTCCACCATCAGAAATTCATTTCCTTGGGTTAAAGTACATCCATTACCTGGGTCCTCTTTGAAAATTCAAAAGTCCTTGGGAAGTACTTGGAGATAGAGAATCCCAATAACTGTTAGTTTACTGCAAAAAAATGTGAAAGAACAGCTAATTAAAAATTTTAAAAAAGATTCTATGTTTTATAGGGAAGAAAAGTACTAAAAGTGTGTATATGTTTGTGTATATGTATGCCTGCATGTACACTGAAAAGGGGAAAGGGGATGAATTTGTACTAATCAACCACATCTCCTGGAGAAACAATTGATAGCACATGCCTTATTGACAATAGGTAGGCCAGAAATAACCACATATTTTATTTTTTTAATCTTGCCAACAATACATTAAGTATGGATGAGGCATCTTTATAAATCATATGGCATTTTTCAGAGATACAGGGCCTAAGGAAATAATGACAATATGACTATGTTCATGTTTTTAAAAACACAAAACAAAAACATATGACAGACAGAAAGCTGTAATTACTTCACAGAACAAGCTGGCCGAAGTAGAGACCAGAGAAAAGTTACAACATTAAGCAAAACAACCCAAGATAAAAAGTATTAAGATCTGTCATAAAGATCAGAAGAATCCAAATATATTTGGAGAAAGAGAAAAGCTTCCTTTATCCATTCAGGGTTGTTATAATAAAAATAATCATATAATAAATAATTATAGTTATAATAAACATGTACTCTTTTTCTAAATACTGTTTAGCGAACAGATATTAAAAATTAATTCTGTAAAGTTAATGACACCACATCTGAGCTCTCAACTATGGAAACTTTCTATATGCTCATTGAAGAATTTTAAAATTAAGAGTAGGATATGGACTGAACTACTATTGGGAGCTCTGAGGTAAGGGAGACTCCCTCTATCAGTGTATAATCTTAGTCAAATAGAACCCTGAGAAATTAAGTGATTTGTTCAGAGCCACACACTTTTTAAAATTTAACTTTTTTTTTTTAATTGTCAGAAAAGAGTCCCAAACTCAGGTCTTTTCTAGATCAGTTCTCGATCCTCTACTAAGAATACACCACTGGAAATTCTGGATAATCAAATTCCTAGCCTATTTAGGAGCTGTCAACTATATTTGATCTTGGAAAGATTGTGTTTTTGGTGCTCAGGAAAAAAAAAGTTTGGGGTGATTCATGACTGCTGCGACTAACTGGAAGGTTCCTTGATTAACTGGTGTCCTTCACAAACTCCTTGGGAAGAGAAGGCTTGACCTAGGTAGGCTTATTCAGTGCTATGGGGGATTCACTTCATCCACTGCCTACCTGAATCAGTTACAATCTTCCATTATTGGAGATCTGTCTTTAATGGGATCAAGCCAGGGAGGGAAACAGAACCTAATATTGCCTTTGAGGTTTTATATATAGCTTAGACACATTTTAAAATTCGATGAGACTTCTGGCACATATCTAACAATGCCTTAGCTTTCCCTGTGATTTTAGGAGTTGAGTTGCAAAACCTATATCCTTTCATTCTTTTGTTCTTTTACACTCAGTTGCCGAAGGGTGGTCTGGCAGGAGCCTGCACCATAAAATAACTGTGAAAGGATGGTACTGCATTGGAGCATTTTAGAGAGCTGTTATGTACGTGGGGCGAGGGGGACAGCTCCCTCCTGAGTAGACAGGGGAGGTGGTTCTTAAAAGCCCATTTCAATCCGCCTTACCTTGCTTGATTATTTTTTAGGAAAGAGACCCTTGTCCATAATACCTAAGCCTCCCCACATAGTAATTATTACAGGGAATGACCAAACTCTTGCATCCCCGAGAAAAAGAACGTCGTGTTTCTTTTCAATGGCGCAAAAAAAGAAAATAAATCCGGGGAAGGGGAGAGCCAAGGGCCCAGCTTACAAGCTTCCTAAGGCAACTTGCCGGCTAGGCTGATCAGCGGAAGAGAGAGGTGGGGCTGATGAGATGGGGAAGCGACGGAGGCCTGGGTCAGCTGGGGCGCCTGCTGAGCAGATGCATAAAACAGCTAGGGAGAGCGAGAAGGGCCGAGACACCTGTCCCAGGAGAGAGGGTTGAAGGGCTGACAGCAAGCAGGTGGGGTGGGGCGCACGGGGCAGAGGGGGCTCCCCCAGCGGCAGCAATGCAGCAGGAGGGGGCGGCGGCTGGGGAGCTTCGGGGAGGGCTACCGGAGGGTGGTAGCGACAGCAGCTCTGGGACACTAACGGACCGGCATGTCCCAACCCATCCCAGCAGGATCGGGGGGAGACAACCTCCCAAGCCTTCTGGGCTCGGCACGTTTCTTTCAGAGGGGAGCTCCAATGCACCCCACCCTCCAGCTCCCGCAGGGGTTTAAAGCGAGGGTTTGGGGGGAGGAGCAGCTACCCAGGAGGAGCCCCAAGAGCGTGGCAGACCCGGCCCCAACCCCATTGCGGCAGCAGCGGCGCCCCACCGCCTCCTATGCCACCCCAGAAGCTGGTGTCTGCCATGGAGGGCGCAGCACTGCCAGGATGAAGGCGTGGAAGCCTCCGGCCGCCCTCCGACACTTGCTGCCTGGGCAGCTGGCGAGCGGGCTCTGAGGCTGGGGCTGAGGTGGGGGGCGGACAGGGCGGAATGGGAGCGGCAGCCCGCGGCTACCTGGCCGCCCCGCCGCCTGCCTCCCTGGCTTACCTGCCTACCTGAGGAGGAGGTCTGGTCCCCACCGATTGACGTACGGGCTGCAGCTCACCCGTGGGAGGCGCCGGGAGCCGTCACAGCCGCAACGCCGCAGAGCTCGGAGTCGAGCCCGGAGGGAGGACAGGCAGGAGAGGGAGGAGGGGGAGGAGAGGGAGGAGGGCACTGCCTTCAGGAAGAGGAGGTGGGATTTGCTCAAGCCGGACTCTGCGTGGTGGGCGGCCTCCCAACTCCTCCTCCTAGATAGTGTGTGTGTGTGTGTGTGTGTGTGTGTGAGAGAGAGAGAGAGAGAGAGAGAGAGAGAGAGAGAGAGAGAGAGAGAGAGAGAGAGAGAGAGAGAGAGAGAGAGAGAGAGAGAGAGAGAGAGAGAAAGTGTGTGTGTGAAAGACTGAAAGTGTGTGTGACAGAGAGAGAGAGAGAGAGGAGAAAGGACAGGTGCGGGAAGCAGCAGGGACCACCACTCTCCCCACCGTGGGCTGGGTTACGGTACGGCCGGGGCTTCTCTGGGGACTGGAGGGCGGCTCCCATACAGCCTTCCGTTGTAAGACTTTCTCACTGGTTGCTGGAATTTAACAAAACCAAACCAAGCCGTCCTCGAAATGGTTTTCCTCATTTGCCTCTCCCTACCTCCACGATCTGGGATTTCCTCTGCAATTCCCCTCTATAAGTAAAAAATAGTCTTGGGGGAGTTGCTTGAGGGTCACAGAGGTTTAAGGGATTTTGGCAGGGCCACAAAGCTTGACATTAGTCAAGACAGCCGCACTCTTTAAGCACCTACTGTGTGCGGGGCACAGTGCTGGGATCTGGGGGTACCAATGGTCCCTACTTTCAAGCAGCTTCCATTCTACAGCATACACACAAGGAAGATTAGGGATCCTTCCAGAGCCCCAGATGGGTGTTTGAACTGCATTCAGCTAAAGCATCTTCCACTTTTCACTGGAGAGTGAGGGAATTTGCCAGCTGGAGGGGAGGAGAAACTTTGATTTTGCAGGATGGAGCCCTAACTGGGATCCTTCTCCAGTGGATCAAGACAAACCAAGGTTAAATTACTTGACCAGGGTCATACAGCCAGTAAGTGTCTGAGGCCAGATTTGAACTCAGGTCTTCCTAACTCCAGGCCCAGTGCTCTATCCACTGAGCCATCTAACTGCCCTGCCTAGCACATACTAGGTATTTAATAAATATTTGTTGATTTGACTACCTTGACCAGAGAGAGAAGAGCCCTATGTTGGGTAGTCCACACAGATAATCCAGAGACTACTAGTGGCAATTGGACATGAAACAATATATTAAAAATAAATGCAAAGCAGTTTTAGTCAAAAAGAAAAGCATAATTAGTAAATGGGAAGCAGGATTTGAACTTATATCTTTTTTTTTAGACAGTTGGGGTTAAGTGACTTGCCCAAGGTCACACAGCTAGTAAGTCTCAAGTGTTTTGTCTGAGGTCAGGTTTGAACTCAGGTCCTCCACTTCAGGGCCTGTGCTGCCTCCACTGCGCCACCTAGCTGCCCCTGAACCTATATCTTCTTGCCTACAAGTTCAGCCCTCAATTTATCAACAAGCCAGAAAGTGTGTTAGGTTCTGGGTATTCCTTTTCCACAAGGAACTTAGATAATGTCTGCTAAATAAGACAATCTTCTTCTCCAAGTCACCAAAACATGACATTAAATCAAAATCCCTCCTCCAATAGTCACTTGAATCTGGACTGCCATTATCTTTTTTTGCTGGCCTCCCAACTTTTACTTAACTCCTAAACATTTTGTTCATTTAAACTTAAGGTCTACACACAGAGCCCATTATTTTATATTATATTATATGAAAACATGTTATATTATATTATTCTATTATGATACATTATATACAACATATATTATTCTATGATATTATAATATGTACAATATATGTAGCGTATTATATATTATTCTACTACTTTATGAATTTCCTTCTAAATAAACATTACACCAATTGCCTTCAAATTTGTCCACCCACTGTCTACACTTTATCTGATTATTCTGATTACTCCCCCTAGTCCAGCCTAGAACTGGGTTAAAGTTTCCTTGAATTGTCTCAGGTTTCTGTTTTTCACTCAATCTCTATCTCCTCTCCTTCACCCACCTTCAGATCCAGCCAATGCTTACATCTCTCTTCTTTAACACCTAGCCTCACAAGACATCTAGCCCATTCCCAAAGTCCGCATTGGCCATAATCTCCACAGAACTTTTCCTTAGTGCTTTTAGTTCTCTTGATACTAATGTCTCATAAGGCAGGATGCTGCTTGCCAAAAGGAGACTTCCTGAAGAGGGATGAGCTATTTTTGTGGGTAGGCTTACTGTCCTGGCTGCTCCCATTACTAATAATACCCTCTTATCCCCTTGGACTAGTGAAAACATAGCTCTGACCTCAATGGGTGTGCTGTGATGAATGCCCTTTTTTTCTATTTTAATTTTCTCTCTCTCTTTTTTAAAAAAAATTAACAAACATTTATTTTCTTCTCCTCCCATCCCTCCTCTTCTTTTTCTCTTTTCCTTTCTTTTTTTCCTCCCAGCCCATTCTCTCCCATGGGGAAAAAAAAGAAAAAGAAAAAAACCTCTGTAACAATTAGTGAAAATGTCCTTCCTTTCTTATCACTCATGCATTCATTCAAAAAACAATTATTCAGCATTTTCTAATTGCAATGTTCTTGTGCCAGGCACTGGGGAACTGCAAAGATGAATACAAATAAGGGTCCTTCTCTTAAGGAATTTGTACTCTAGTAATTGGAAGAATGTATCAAGTTTTTCTCATAAAGGTTTCACATCTAAGATTATATAAAAAACTGATTTAAATGTATAAGAACAAGAGCCATTTCCCAATAGATAAATGGTTAAAAGATAGGGACAGGAAGTTCTCAAGGAAAGAAGTATGAATTATCAGTAACTTCATGAAAAAATGCTCCTAATCATTTAATAACTAGAGAAAAGCAAATTAAAGCAACTTTAAAGTTCTATTACACATTGATCAGTTTGTCAAATAAGACAAAAAAAAAAGAAAATGAGAGTTGGTAGGAGAGCTGTGGGGAAATAGGCAAATATAGGAAAAATAGGGGAAAAGGAGGAAATAGGCACCCTAATGCATTGTTAGTGGAGCTGTGTACTGGTCCAGCCAATCTGAAAAGCAGTTTGGAATTTTGCCCCCAGTCATTCAACTGTGTATACCCTTTAACCACTGATACCACTACTAGACCTATACCCCGAAGAGATTGAAAATAAGAAAATGGAAAAGGACCCATATGTTTATACACACACACACACACACACACACACACACACACACACTTATATTTATAGCACTGGCAAAGAAATGGAAATAAAGGTAATACCCATCAATTGGGAAATAGCTAAACAAATTGTGTTATATAAAGGTAATGGAATATTACTGTGCTGTAAGGTATGATGAATGCAATGAACACAGAGAAACACAGAAAGACTTACATGAACTGATGCCAAGTGAAGTAAGAACACAACACTATACACAACAACTACCAGATGGCCTCTGTTTGCGCCTTGACGGCTTTAGTGTTGTTGGCATGCATCTTCTTCAGCCCCTTCTTGTTGTGTTTCTTGACAAAGCACATGTTTCTCAGAAACTTGGGGTCAACCCCTTTCAGAGACCCGTATCTCTGTGACTTGGTTTCTTGATGACACTTCTGTATCATTTTCATGATTGGTTATGGCTGGTATGGTTCTTAGACTTAGCCATCTTTACACGGCAGCCTGCACTAACAGGCACTCCACAGACCAGAAGAGGCCAAAGCGAGAGAGAGAGAGAGAGAGAGAGAGAGAGAGAGAGAGAGAGAGAGAGAGAGAAGGAAGAAGCGCAGGGCAGTGTGGGAAATAAGGCCAATAAAATTATTTTTAAAAAAATAAAGAGAAAAAAGACCCAGGTATACAAAAATTATTATTGTAGTAGCAAAACACTAGAAACTAAGAAGTGAGGAATGGCTGAACAAAGTATGGTCTATGAATATGATGTAATATTATTGTACAGTAAGAGATAACAAAAGGTTATTTTTTATTATTACACAGTAAGAAAAAAATGAAAGGGAAGACCTATATGAAGTGAGCAGAACCTAGAAAACAGTTTGCAAAATGACAACATTTTAAAGAAAAACAACTTTGAAACATTCAATTATGTGACCAAAATGCAATTTCAGAGGACATGTGGTGAAGAATGCTACCTGCTTCCTGATGAAGAGGTGAAGAATTCAAGGTACAGAATAAAAATCTTTTTTTTTTATATATGTGGCCAATGTAGGCATTTATTTTGCATTATTACATTATTACATAATTCATTATTGTGGATTCTTCCATATGGATTCCTGTTGTGGGAGGAAGGGAAAAGAAGGGTAGGGATAAGACAGAAAAAGACAGATAGATAGATAGATAGATAGATAGATAGAGAGAGAGAGAGAGAGAGAGAGAGAGAGAGAGAGAGAGAGAGAGAGAGATAGGAAGGAAGTCATTGACATTTTTTAAATACACAGAAGAGAATAGAAAGGCCAGACAGAATCAAGACAGACAAGTAGGACGGCTTTGAAAGTTCCATGTTGAATTTATTAAATATCTTTAAAGGAGACAATTTTTCTAAAAGGAAAAAATAAAGAAAGTAATGGCTGTGGTTTCATGTACATTACTCTTTTTAAAATTCTACTATTTTTGTAGCCCATATAGACTTGTGGGTCCCTATCCTTTCTCATACTTTTCAGGGCCCCAGAGCAAGGCTGGCTATATCTTCTCACTCAGCCTCTAGGGATATCCCTGAGGGGCATCCTTATGTTCCAAGCTTGAGTCCCATTCTTCATTCTCTCCAACATTGATTGCCAATTTTCTCTTCAAAATTATTGATTGACCCATTGACGAGTGCCCCACTATCATTTGCCAAATTAACATAAATTGACTTTTGTAAAGGGATATTTGCTAAGGAGATGCAGCAAGAATAGAAGTATGGACAGATCACTTCTGCATCAGAGGGGCATTCTCCCCTATACCAGCTTGATCCCTTGGAACAGTGGGCTCAAATTTAAAGAAATCACTTACAAAACCTTCACTCCTTTAAATTCACTTTAGAAGGCAGCCTAAAATCTGGATAAGTCCCTACCTTGTACAGCTTTAATCTAATGATGGGCTGGGTCAAGCAAGTTATTTCTTAGGGATGCTAGC